TTGATGGGGTACCATGTGGACAGTCATTTCTACTGCCTTCCTTTCAGCTAGTCATTTCCACATTTGGATGTAAGAATGCTGTTATATACGGAGGGTAGATTCTGTGGTTTTTTAGATCCATAGGCGCTGACAGGGATTACACTACTTGCTAACTTTGTTACTCTTCCTGTGCAGGTAGGCTATAAACAGATATGATACGTGAAATTCTCAAAACTGGGATTTTTGTCATTGCCACTGTTCTTCTGTTTTTTACTACATTGATTACTGTTATTTTTTGCCTCTTGGCATGTCTGTAGGTGTCCTTCCTTTTACATCCCATCATCCCATGCTGTTACCTTGCTTTTGGAGTTGCATGGTGAAGTCCTTCCATTTATTTTGGATAAAATTACTTTAAAAAATGGATCTTGGTGGTTTTGGTGTAGGTTTTTTTTTGTTTGTTTGATTGTTTTAAGTCAGCCAGGGATAACTATTTGTTTTCTTCCCTTGCATTGCATATCCAAACATACTTTATTTTCTTGTGCTACCTCAAGGATGTTCAAAGAATGGCATTTTTTTCCTTAACATGTAATTCATACTTCCTAGTGTTTCATTTTTCTTCCTTTTCTTCCCCTTTATGTTTTCTCTTGGCCTTTGTGTTTTACATTACTTAATACAAATTCTATTAACTCTTTCCTTTGCTTACATTGATGTCTTTCTTTTGCTTTCTGACTTTTATGCAGGCCTCTAAGGTCATTTTAATTTTTTCAGACATGGATGCCTAGACCTTCTTGCTGCTCCAGGCCAAGGTTGTTAGCACTTTCCCAGAGTGCACCCAGCCCTTTGTGCCTGAGGTGCAGGAAAAAGACTGAGGTGGAACTTGCATTGTGTACAGCCATAAGTCAATGGTTGGTCAGTGTTGAGGGAAAAGCTCTGCTCTCTTCCTCCTTCATTCTCCTCTCTTATATCCAGGCATCCTGTTGTTGCAGAAACACCACCAAAAGGTGACCAGCAGTTTGGTACACAGCAGCTTGAGGCTTGTTAAATGCTAAGGTTAATAATACTTGGTCAACAACTTAAGTCAGCCCAGCACTGAAGTATAGGCAGAGCTGTTTGGAACATCAGCCCCCTATTCCAGCAGTAGTAGAGGAGATGCCTGTGTAGAAGTGCCCTGTCAGTTTGACACAGCGCTGTTGCTCCTTGGCTGTGGATATGCCTCCCTAGTCCTTCTCTCAGGTATGGCTTTTGAAAAATAAATAAAAAACCCCTAAAACCTCAACCCTATCATCTGTTTCTTATTTGCTGGCAGTTCATTCATGCTGTGTGCTGAAACACATGTTTGGAAGCAAACTCAAGTCAGTTGCTGTCTTTCCACTGCCTTCACTGGTTTTGAAGTGGGCATGAAAAAGCGTGGTTCACTGAAGTCGGTGGAAAACCTCCTATGCCTTTTGTCAGTTTTGGACTCTGTCCAGATTGTTCCCAGTGGAGCTGGGTTGCACCTGCATGCTAGGATAGCTGTCTGGCAAGCTGATTCTTAGAAACCAACAGAAGCCCTGTACACGTGTTATTCCTGGGCAGTTTTCTTCAGGAAGTACTAAATCTTGCACTCCAGAAGGATCACAAAATAGTGAAAGCATTTGACAAGGGAAAAGGGAAAGAATACATAGGCCGATATGCACGCTGCCATTGTTTAACTGTAAGACTCCGCATAAGCTCTTCAGATGGCTTTTTCTTCTGTAAATACCATAGCTATCTTAATTGTAATGGAGCAATATACTAAAAATTGTAAGGTGGTCAGCCTGAGTCCTGGTTGAAAGTAAGAATTCAGATTAAAGGTAAAATTTGCTTTTGGCTATTCTTGATGACAAGATGACAAGGAAAGCTACTTTGTGTACTTTTTTTTTTTTTTCCGTGTAGGAGTAGACATAGAATCATGTCACCTTCTACTTATCCAGTTTTCACATACCAGATTCCACAGAAGTATGTAAATATCTGATTGAAAGGTTGAAAGCTGGAGTAATAGACACGAGATGATAGGGGAAATAGAAACGTCTGAAGTATAGTAGATCCACCAAACAACAAAACTTCCTTGTTCTGAAAATAGTAATTTTTAAACCTCTTATTTTCTTAGCAGTGGGTATCACTGAGACTTTGGCTAGGAATCTTGATGATGATAAACCTGGGCACCTGACCAGGAAGACCGAGCAGATGAGGCCCTCTATAGATAGGCAGGAGCAGCCTCACATTCACAAGCTCTCATCCTCATGGAGGACTTCCACTACCTCAGTATCTGTTGGAGGGAGAAAACATCAGGGCATAAGAAAGCCAGGAGGTTTCTGGAATGTGTTGATGATAACTTCCTTCTCCAAGTGACAGAGGGGGCAACAAGGAGAGGTGCTATGCTGGACCTTGCTCTCACCAAGAAGGAAGGGCTGGTGAGGAATGTGAAGCTCAAGGGCAGCCTGGGCTGCAGTGCGGGTGGGGTGGTGGTGTTGGTGGTGTAGGAGTAGACATAGAATCATGTCACCTTCTACTTATCCAGTTTTCACATACCAGATTCCACAGAAGTATGTAAATATCTGATTGAAAGGTTGAAAGCTGGAGTAATAGACACGAGATGATAGGGGAAATAGAAACGTCTGAAGTATAGTAGATCCACCAAACAACAAAACTTCCTTGTTCTGAAAATAGTAATTTTTAAACCTCTTATTTTCTTAGCAGTGGGTATCACTGAGACTTTGGCTAGGAATCTTGATGATGATAAACCTGGGCACCTGACCAGGAAGACCGAGCAGATGAGGCCCTCTATAGATAGGCAGGAGCAGCCTCACATTCACAAGCTCTCATCCTCATGGAGGACTTCCACTACCTCAGTATCTGTTGGAGGGAGAAAACATCAGGGCATAAGAAAGCCAGGAGGTTTCTGGAATGTGTTGATGATAACTGCCTTCTCCAAGTGACAGATGAGCCAACAGGGAGAGGTGCTGTGCTGGACCTTGTTCTCACCAAAAAGGAAGATGGGGAATGTGAAGCTCAAGGGCAGCCTTGGCTGCAGTGACTGTGAAATGGTGGAGTCCAAGATCCTTAGGGCAGCAACAAGGGCACACAACAAACTCACTATCCTGGACTTCAGGTGAGCAGACTTTGGCCTCTTCAGGGATCTACTTGGTAGAGTCCCATGGGATAAAGCCCTGGAGGGAAGAAGGGCCCAAGAAAGTTGGTTAATATTCAAGGATCACCTCCTCCAATCTCAGGAGTGATGCATCCCAGCAGAGGAGGCTAGGCAAAAATGCCAGGAGACCTGCATGGATAAACAAGGAATACAAAGGACAAAAGTCAAACACAAAAAGGAAGCTGACAGAGGGTGGAAGCAAGGACCAGAAGCCTGGGAGGAATGCAGAGAAATTGGCTGAGCAGTCAGCTTAGGAAAACTAAAGCCCTGACAAAATTAAATCTGGCCAAGGACTTACAAAGACAACAAGAAAAGTTTCTATAGATATGTCAGTGGTAAAAGGAAGACTAGGGAAAATGTGGGCCCCTTCCAGAAGGAAACGGGAGACTTGGTTACCCGGGATATTGAGAAGGCTGAGGTACTCAGCAACTTCTTTGCCTCATTCTTCTCTGACAAGTGCTCAAGCCACATGTCGCAGAAGGCAAAGGCAGGGAGTGGGAAAATGGAGAGCTACCCACTGCAGAAGAAGGTCAGATTCAAGACCACCTAAGGAACCTGAAGGTGCACAAGTCCATGGGACCTGGGAAGATGCATCCACAAGTCCCGAGAGAACTGGCGGGTGAAGATGCTAAGCCACTATCCAGCATATGTGAGAAGTTGTGGCAGTCTGGTGAAGTTCCCGGTGACTGGAAAAAGGGAAACATAACCCCTGTTTTTGAAAAGAGAAAAAAGGAAGACCCAGGGAGCTACAGGTCAGTCTTGCCTCTGTGCCTGGCAAGATCATGGAGCAGATCCTCCTGGAAACTGTGCTAAGGCACATGGAAAATAAGAGGTGATTGGTGACAACCAGCATGGCTTCACTGAGGGCAAACTGTGCCTGACAATTCTGGTGGCCTTCTGTGACAGGTTTACAGCATTGGTGGATAAGGGAAGAGCAACAGATGTCATCTGCCTGCACTTGCGCAAAGCATTTGACACTGTCCCGCACAACACTGCTGTCTCTAAAATGGAGAGACATGGATTTGATTGATGGACCACTTGGTGGATAAGGAATTGGCTGGACTGGCATGGGATTGGATGGTTACACTCAAAAGAGTTGTGGTCAACAGCTGAATGTCCAAGTGGATACCAGTGACTAGTGGCATTCCGCAGGGGTCGGTATTGGGACTTATGTTTACATCCTTGTTGGCGACGCGGAAAGTGGGATTGAGTGCACCCTCAGCAAGTTTGCCAACAACACCAAGGTGTGTGGTGCGATTAACACACTGGAGGGAAGGGAGGCCGTCCAGAGGGACCTTGATGTATTTGAAAGGTGGACCTATACAAACCTCATGTGGGCTTATACAAACCTCGTGAAGTTCAACAAGGCCAGGTACAAGGTCCTGCTCATGGGTTGGGGTAATCCCAAGCACAAATATAGGCTGGGAGGAGAATGGATTGAGAGCAGCCCTGAAGAGAAGTGCTTGGGGATGTTGGTTGATGTGGAGCTGAACATGAGCCAGCAGTGTTCGCTTGCAGCCAGCTGTATCTTGGGCTGCACGAAAAGAAGTGTGACCAGTAGGTCGAGGAAGGTGACCTGCTCTGCTCTCATGAGACCAGAAGTACTATGTCCAGCTCTGGGGTCTTGAACATAAGAAGGACATGGACCTGTTGGAGCAAGTCCAGAGGAGGGCCACAAAGATGGTACCAGGGCCTGGAGCACCTCCTGTGTGAGGACAGGCTGAGACAGTTGAGGTTGTTCAGCCTGTAGAAGAGAAAGTTCTAAGGAGACCTTATGGCAGTCTTCCAGTTCTTCAAGGGGACCCACAGGAGAGGTGGGGAGGCACTCTTTGTCAGGGAGGGTAGGGATAGGATGACGGGTAACAGACTGAAAGAGGTTAGATTTAGGTGAGATATTAGGAAGACATATTTTCCTGTGAGGGTGGTGGGACACTGGAACAGGTTGTGCAGGGAAGCTGTGGATGTCCCATCCCTGGAGGTGTTCAAGGCCTAATTAGACAAGGCTTTGAGCAACCTGGTCTAGTGGCAGGTGTCCCTGCGCATGGCAGGGGGGTTGGAACTCGATGATCTTTAAGGTTCCTTCCAACCAAAACCGTTTTATGGTTCTTTGATTCTATGAGAATGGAAATTTTTGATCCCTTCTTCCTGAGAAAGGGAACAGCAAGGTACAAACTAGACTCTATGCAGTACCCTAGAAGTAATTATCCTCCCTCTCTACTCTGCCCTGGTGAGACCGCATCTGGAATATTGTGTCCAGTTCTGGGCCCCTCCGTTCAAGAGGGACAGGGAACTGCTGGAGAGAGTCCAGCGCAGAGCCACAAAGATGATTAAGGGAATGGAGCATCTCCCTGATGAGGAAAGGCTGAGGGAGCTGGGTCTCTTTAGCTTGGAAAAGAGGAGACTGAGGGGTGACCTAATCAATGTTTATAAATATGTAAAGGGTGAGTGTCAGGAGGATGGAGCCAGGCTCTTCTCTGTGACATCCAGTGACAGGACAAGGGGCAATGGGTTCAAGCTGGAACATAGGAGGTTCCACCTGAATATGAGAAAAAACTTCTTCACGGTGAGGGTGACAGAGCACTGGAACAGGCTGCCCAGAGAGGTTGTGGAGTCTCCTTCTCTGGAGACATTCAAAGCCCACCTGGATGCGTTCCTGTGTGATCTGATCTAGGTGTTCCTGCTCCGGCAGGTGGATTGGACTAGATGATCTTTTGAGGTCCCTTCCAACCTCTAACATTGTGTGATTCTGTGACTAGTAACACATGACAAAAGGAACTGTTTCCAGTGCTATGAACTTTCTTTAGGCTGTCATATCCTTGTCAGGACATATGTCTAACTGTGTTTTGAGCTTTTTGAAGCATTGAATCCGTTATCAGAGACACAAGGCTTCACCTAATGCAGGTCAGTAAATCTGTTCTGAAGTGTGCATCTTTTTGGGCCTCAAGGTCCTGTTCCAAAAGAGAGCAAGCACATGACTGCTGCCTTTCAGGGAGGAGAGACTTCTGCAGAGGTTTGCAGCTCCTCAGACCTGTCCTGTACCAAAGTAAAGGAAGTGGGGAGCCTGTTCCAACACAAGGAAGAGAAAGCCTTGACACTTGAATGGGTGAAGGTCACTGTGAGCACTCATGGTGAGCAAACTTGCTGCAGAAGTGGTGGAAACAAGAAATGATAAATACTGCGTTGTAATTCAGCCTCAGTTCATGAGGTGTGGATAGGAAAAACAAGAAGTATTTCATACGTCTCTGCCTTTGTCTTTGCTGTATACCTGGAGATGGAAACCAGGGGAGCCCAGAGAGATTCATCTCCTGCTTGTGTTTTGTTTCTGTGTTTGGGTTTTTTTGTTGTTTGTTTTTTGTTTCACAGACATGTATAACCCCCTTCTGTGTTAGTGAGAAAACACAAGCAAACATTTTACTCTTTTGAACACGGGTGGAAAAGTCCCTATACTGAGTGCTATCTGGGTCTTTTGCCTTTTGTTTCTCCGTACTAATTGGTTAAAATTGGTGGTGTTAAGTTCCCACGAGTATGTCTGAGAGAGAATTCCTACATATCCAGCCTCATGCAATTAAGCTTTGGAAAATGAAGTACCCATCAAAGCAGGAGGTGGCTGGTACAGTTTGTATTCTGACTTCCCCCCCACACACACCTCCACCAGCTCAGCCAGCTTTTTTTTTCCCATCTTCCATAAAACTTTAAGAGAAGAGACTTTTGTCTTCTTTTTAGGAAAGTTACACTGAAATTCATCTGTGCTTTATTTGTGTGCTTTCATTTGTGCCATTCATGGGAAGTAGTGGGTTATATAGGACAAAGCAGATGAATTCCTAACCTCCACATTCAAGCAGTGTGTTCAGAGGTTCAACACCACACCTCCCTTCCCCCTTCCTTTTTTGGGGGGTCCAACTAAAGTATTACAGCTTTCTGTTTCAGTACTGAGACATCTCTGGACTGTATTTCTCCACAGACAATTAAAATGGTATGACAGAGTTTTGCTGGGTTGTAGAAGGAATGCGCCTATACAGGCATACCTATATAATAGAGATCTCTTTCTCAGTATAACAAAACTTAGCAGATTCTAAGGAAATGTGGTTTAGAAGTTTGCTTTACTGGAATTTATTATTAATTTTTTTTTTCCCAATAATGGCTTCTTTTCAAACATCATCAACTAGGAGAACTTGAATTTACCTTTCGTGAAGATTGCTTCAAATGTGACAAAGTAAGATTGGATCATTTCGCTAAAGTTAACTTTTGATGTGAGTTTCTTAAATAATTCCAGGAATGAGTAGGGAAGAGTATCCATTTTTTTCCCATGTATTTTTCCTTTTTTTTTTTTTTTTTTTTTTCTTTGAGATAGGCTATTTACATATATCCTGTGCCAGCTCTTCCATCTGGTATAAACTGCTATAGGACATTTGAGAGGATCTGGGCTGATTTATGCAGCAAACACATAAGCACTTGGCAGTATGATTAATATGCTTTACCTTCACAGATTAATAGTGTCTTAAGACCAGACTTATTTTTAGACTATTTTTAATTTAAATCTGTTGCTTCTTCCCTCCCCAAATCATACCTAAAAAGCATAATTTATACTGATCACCTTTTAAATCATAGAATACACATTACATTACATCTTTCTCTTAATCCCTTCAGAAAGCTGCCAGCAGATTTCATAACCAACATCGTGATTAACCCCCTCTAAAAGCCAATAGGTGCTGAAGCAGGCTTCAAACCTTTTTAGATTTGTTGATCCACCTGGAATAACAACTTCCCTCTGTTTCTCTACAGACTCCTCATACTCTGAGCCTCCTGATGTTCAGCAGCAGTTGAACCACTACCAGTCTGCAGCTTTGGCCAGGAACAACAACAACATCAGCCCAATCCCACTTTCCGGGAGTGCTGCAGGAGTGGAAAAAACGGAAGTCATCCTTAACTGTGAATTTTGTGAATTCTCTTCGGGTTACATACAGAGCATTAGGCGTCATTACCGTGACAAGCACGGAGGGAAAAAACTCTTCAAGTGCAAAGATTGTTCCTTTTATACAGGCTTTAAGTAAGTACTGTGCAAAACAGATAAACTGAACTCATAAGGGGTTTTTTAGCACTTGAAAAGACTTCTGACATCTTTGAAAGCTGGCTGCAGCAAACAGAAACATGACTGCTGCTGACCAGGGAGAGGAACATAGGAAATTCCATGCCAGATCACAGCAGCATCCATGTAATCCATTTTCCTCTCTCCTACAACAGCCAGTACCATCTGCTGCAGACAAAAGCACAGTAAGTCCTTGCAGTAGGTTTACTTGCTGGAGGAAATGGTACAGGTAGTACTTTTTCCTCAGCCTAGGCAATTGGACAGCTAACTTTATCCTCAAATGTGAAAATTTTCTCTACAAAAATAAGGTAGTTTCCTTGTGTAACCAGCATGAAGCATGGAACAGTCAAGTGTCCTAGGGAGACAGGAGAATTCACCTTTCTGAAGAAACCTTTCTCATGTAATTTTACTTCTCTTGCCACCTATCTAGCTGAAATGCAAAACATTCTCTAGCGTATGTGATAGCATATAGAGATATTTCAGAAAATCTTAATAAGATGTGCAAAATTTAAGAACTTGGTGCTGTGTATGTTTCTCTGGGTATGTGTTTTTACTTGCTGTTCTGTAAGGAAAAAAAAGGCCTGTGCACCTGTACTGTTGATCATTTCCTCCTGATATGCTGGACTCTTGAGCATAACACCCTCGACTGACATTTGAGGTCTCAAACTTGTTAAGTTCTTAGGAGACTGGTGACAGTAAGCAGTATGACTGGATAAAGGGGAGAAGTTCTATTGAAGAAAATGTTGAGCACAAACCTGAGAGAATCCACCCAAGAACAACCTCTAGTTACAAGTCTCTATCCTCTGTTTCTTCTGCTCCTTGCTGGTATAACTTGCTGCTTGTGCTTTATATCTTGATTGTTGTCTGTCTTACATATTGCCAGCAATTGCCAGGTCCGTTCAATCTGTTTGTAACTTGCAAGTGCCATTTTATTCTGCCTGGACGAAATGAAATAATCTTAAATCAAGCAGCATTTAAACATGTTCATAGTTGTATAAGAGAGTAGTGTTCTTTCAGGTGGTGTCTCAAACATTCAGGGATTAAGTCTTGCATCTTCTAGAAGAACAGCATGTTTTCTGTCTTCAAAAAAAAGAGGGACTCCAAAAAACTCCCATATGAATCCCCTCTTCAACTCGCCATAGAAATTTAAGTGCATGAAAGCACTCACTAAGGTTGATAGAAGTGCAGCTGTTGAGTTAAGCAATGGCTGGATCTGGCCCAAAGGCAGTTGTGTTAGTAAGTTGGTTTGTGTTCAAGCTAACAGTCTCGAAGAACCTCAAAGAGACTTCTAACTCAGGTTCAGTAGTGGCTAACTCCTTAGACTTTGCAAGGTTTACCACTGCTTTAGGAAAAAATGACCAAGTGTCCCAAGTTTACAGACACCTCTCATTCCAGGAGCTTGTGGTTAGATAGGTGTACAGTTAATTTCTTTGGTATGTATGTCTCTTGCAGCTTCTAAGTAAGTAGCCAGTGTAATGCCAGCATGAAATTTTTGTTTGAAAGTACTGTGGAGTATATTCATTCATTCCTCCACATTCATAAGCAGAGTATTCTTAGTCTTGAGTTTTCATATCCTTATAGCTGATGCTTTAAAACTTAACTACTTAGTGCCAAACTTACTGTGAACGCAAGTCTGTTTTATCCTGAATCTAATCATTTTAGCTGTTTTTGGGCTTGTCCTAGAAAGACAGAGGTGGTTAAGGATGTTATCTGTCTCCAGAAATAAGTCTGTCCTCACCTTCACAAATACAGAACAATTGATAGATTTTGTTCAACTTGCTAAAAATTTAATCTTTGGTAGAGAGAGCACACTGAATTTTTCAGCCTGAAGACAAATAATGAGCATGAAAGATGGAAATTCTTTTGCTATCTTAACTATAGCAATGTGACTATAGAGCAACCCATGCAAAAGAATATCTCATCAGAATGAGTGTTACTTGAGGATAAAAGCCTTCAAATACCTCTGCTCATGTGTTACTCATGTGAGTAGCCCTGCTGAAATGCCATATGGCAGAGTGAAGAAAAAGCTGAGTGGTATCTGTACCATTTTGCACAACACGTCCCTTGCAGAGCTCTGACACTTCATTGTTCCCTGTGCACCTCTTCTGACTGCTTCCATCTCTCCCTCCCGTTTTGCAGATCTGCTTTTACTATGCACGTGGAAGCTGGGCATTCGGCAGTTCCTGAGGAAGGACCCAAAGACCTTCGCTGTCCTCTTTGCCTATATCACACCAAATATAAACGCAACATGATTGACCATATAGTTCTGCACAGAGGTAACAATATCCCTGTGTGTGTATGTATCTGAGGAGGGGAATGCTGAACAATGCCCTTGCCTTTCAGACTGGTTTCATTAAATTTTCCCCTCTCTCTACATCATTAAATTTTCCCTGCTCTCTGCATGAGGACAAGTACATTGAATAAGTCTTTGGCTTCTGAGTATATTTTGTTTCATTTCTAAATGTAACATCTTATTTATTTCTGTAAAATTCAAAGTTAGCCAGTGTAGAAACAGGGCAGATTTAAATTGTTTTTTAAGGTTTTCCTCTAGAAGAGTTAACAGTCATCAAACACCTGTTTAGCAAGAGTTGCCCTAATTTGCAGCTCTGATCTAGACCAGAGTTGTTTCCTGCTTATGTCCTTATCATAAAGTCCGTGCTATCATAAATTCTGTGACAGGGTGTATCAACTAACCATAGAGGCCCTAAAATATCCCTTGATTACTTGCTTGAATTTTTTCTCTTAAGCATTCTTAGGTTCAAAACAAGAATTATGATATTTGTATTTTTCTTCAAGACTCCTTTCCTATCTCCACCTTTCCCTTCTTTTTTTTCAAGCCAGCTAAAAGTGGGATTAGAAATTTCTATATTCTATTAACTGTGGGCTTGCTAGCTCAGAAAAGACAGCTGTTTGGGCTCTCTGTGCTGGGATTCCTGCCCGTAGCTATCACACTTGGTGCTTGTAGATGGTCTGTTTGCTGCCGAAATCCAAACCCATGTGTTTGGATGGCACTCTGCCTGCTTGCAGGTTGGGCAGAGTTTCACAGTAGGGTATTGGTGGTGAGCAAACATAAGTTTTGCATGCCATCTTTTTCCTGGAGGAGATCCTGGTGTGACAAGTGCTATCGTAATTCCTTGTAACAAACCGCTTTTCAGTGTTGGTAGCTTACAGTCCTTCTTGTACCAAAGCAGTGAGGTTGGCAGACTTCATACAAATTTCTGTCAGCTAGCAGGGCTATTCTGAGGGAACATCTGGGAAAAAATGACCTGTTAGTGATTCAGAAAGCATGTTACAAAGATGCCTTGTTTGGTTATAAGAGTTTGGCAGATGCTTTAGCTTTTACTTCCTGTCTTTGAAGGTGTTGCTGTGTCAGATTTTGCTCAGTTTCAGGGCATACTCCAGAATTAGCTCACTTTAGGAGAGAGGAGCGTTTAGTTAACCCCTGTGCAGGTGACTGTGTGGTTCCAAGTGCTACTGAGGTGTGCTCTGGTTTACGGCTCTGCCAGGGCTCCAGTGGACACTGCCAGACCTTTAAAATGCAGATAGACAGGCTGAGGGAGAACTTTACGGGCTTAGTTAAGGTATTTTCCTTCATGCAAATAACTGGACACTGGGAATGTACAGTTGCACAAGTGGAAGAGCACTTCATGACTTCAAGCAGATGTGCCTATACAGAGCTGTTTCTGACCAATTGCAAGAATGTCGTTACCTCCTGGGTAGGTGACGCTGTGGATCTGTTCTTTTGTAGAGCTGTTGCTTCAGTTGCACAAACCAGCCTTGAGCCTTTGTGCTGCTGAAATAAAGCGGATAGCAAAGGACATAATGATACAGCTGCTACAAGAATCTCAGAGGCCTCTGATGGAAGGACAGGGGTTTTCTCTGGCATGAAGCATCCAGGTAGTAAAGGAAGTAAGGTACTTCCTTGAAGTTCTTTCTGATGCATATATCCAGTTAAAAAAATCATCTACCATCGTGTTTAATTGTTTGGCAGCTAAAGCAGATGATTTTGGCAAGATTTAACATGCACTGGAAGAGAAACTGAGCTATGGTGAATGTGGTCTGAGATAGCCTTCCTTTTTTATAGCCATTGCATTGGTAAAACCAGGGCATAGCCCTGAGCTGTGGTCCAAGAAAATTAGTTTTGAGGTAGGGAGTGGTGCAGTATGTAAAATCAAGAGTGAAGTATTTGATCTGTTTCATAGTTAATGTTCCTCCTGTGTAAAAAGACATGTTAAAGATGTGTGACTCTTACATTACTTCCAAGTTGCTGCACTCTTAATCCATGGTGAAACAGCGTATGCTTGAAATGGAGAGTATATTTGCCTCTTAAGAAGTGGCTGCAGAAGCTTGAGTTTGATAGGGCTAAAGCATTATCAGCTAGAAGGCTGAATGCCTAGTGAGAAAAAAATTAGACAAGGAATTTTCTTCCCATTAAGAATCAAGGCAAACAGGAGGCCTCCAAGAGCCGCCTTCTGTGTATCACCTGTTCCTCATCAGTGTAAAAGCAGTTCACTGTCCTTTCTGCAAGCACAGATAGAGCACAGACTCATTACATGTGGCCTGTAGCAGGGGACTGACACAGCTGGAGGCTACTGTGCAGGTAGGTGAAGAGAAGAAATTTGGCTTTAAAGTTCTTCATAGCCTTTGTGGCAGGCAAGCTTGGGAAGAGGAGGTATGGAGCAGAGAGCAAACTCTTGCTCTGTGGCCAGCAGTGGTGTTGGCCTTTAATTTAGTCTGAACAATGCAATTATTTTTCATTATACCTTCCAGTAGCATTCCCGTCACACATTTTGCAATACACTGGTATTTTTCCACCAGCTAAATGCAACTTACCAAGATCACAATTGGGTCTACTTTAAAATCCTTGGGGCATTACTTTTTCCTCTTTTAGCAATCATTTTATTGTCTTCCTGATACAAATAGTGATCTTGTTTTTCCATTTAATAGAAATCACACCCGTTTCTCTTGAATCTTTTCTTTAAGAGTCAAATTTTCAAATTAATCTACCTCTGCAAAGGCTTAATTGCTGCATATCCTGATTCCCTTGCACATGGTTGTTTCTAGCATTATTCCTTGTACACTCAGCTTCACTGATATATTGAGAACCCTTGTGCTGTGCTTGCTTTTTGCTAGCGGAATGCAAATGCAACATGTTCTGTGACTGTAGCTTGGATTTGCAGGCAAAAATGCATATTTTCAAACACCCAACATGACCAAATAATTGATTTGTGTCTATATAGTAAGACAGCTTTGAGTGGAGGGGTTGGACTAGGTGATCACTAGATGTCCTATCCAACCTCAACCGTTTGGTGATTCTGTGGTTTACCTTTAAGGGAAGTAAGTAACTTGTGTATGCTGTGGTGTGTTGCTGAGTAAAGATTTTTTTCCTTACAACTGAGGACTGATAGAGTCATGGGCTCTTTTATGGCTTGACCAAAAACATTTATGTCTACTTTGTTACTGTACTGCAAATACCTATTGCCTTTCAGTTTTATCTGTGATCTGCGTTACAGTTAGCCTGAATATTTCAGTCCAATGGAAGGATTTGGTTTCCTAAACCAAGATAATGTTTTTTAGGTGCTTATTTTGTTGTTTTTTTAGTTATACCTCTGGCTAAATTGTTCCATAATTCAGGACACCTTTTTTCTGAGGCATATACAGTAGTCTTTGTTTAGGCACTGCTGAGCTTTGAAGTAGTCTACACATAAAAAAGCTACCTCTTTCATTTGTGTATGGGGCTTTATGGTTTGCTTTAATTTTGTCAGTTGCCTGGATGTGATATGTGCATTCTAACTGGGTAATTAAATAAACACAGCTTTGCAGGGGCAAGCTAGAGATGAGAGCATCACCTTACAAAATGTAAGGTTCTGGATCCAAATAACCCTTCAAGTTCCAAAATCATTGATTAGAGGAAGCTCAATGACACGAATGCATCATGCAAAAGTTTTAAATCATCCCCCGAAAGTTAAATCCTTCAGGCTAGAATTATGTTTGTGTTTATTTCGCTTTTCTCATGTTATTGTACTGCCTTTGATTTGAAGAGAGTGTGTGTGATTGTGAGATAATAGGTTTTGCTAATTAGGAAATGCTGCATTACTCCAGAATGGTAGATAAAAAGTTTTATATCATCCCATGTTTTAGCTTTTTTTTTTTTTTTCTGTGGCAGGGGCTAGAGGAGAGGAAAAGTGAATTTTCAAGTATTTTAATTAGTATTTATGTTTTTGAAAATTTACCTTGACTTTTTCACTTTTGAAACTAGTTGCATCACTTATTTCAGTGAGTTCAAAAGCACACAGCTGCAGCCACCTTGTAAAAAGTCTCCTTATGACCCTAGAATCACAGGTTTAAATTCTGTTTTCTCTTGGACCCCGTTCTCCCCTCCCCTTTTCCCACCCTATTTGGTCGGAAATGGCCATAACTTGGTGTCTTTATAGCTAGAGAAGCTGGTTTTGGTGTAGAAAAGGATTACAAGTCCACAGAGGGGGTTTAAGGCATTGCTTTGGGGAAAACTTCCACTTTTTGAAGTGGCCAAAGAGGAAGTTATGAGATATGATAATTTTTGTGTTCAGGGAGAAGCTGAGCAGGATGCAATATTTTGTTGGGCTGTGGAAAAAGTATTGTGAGCAGCACTGGCATGTGGATTGGCCAAAAGTGAATGAACAGTGGAGCTTTTGCTACCTTCCAGAAACCCTAAGGGAGTTTGTATTTCTGTAGTTGTCTTTGGACGTGATATTACCCCCTCGCTAAAAAAATGGGGGCATTGGCTCAGACCCATTTGTGGGTTGCCACATCTCACATTCCCCTAACCTTCATATCTACCGTCTGAGATTCAGGTCTGGGTTTTTTGTTCACTTGTTTTAGTATGTTGTTAGGGATGAACTTGCATGAGGAGGATCAAACTCCTCCTTTAATCTGCAGTCCATAAGGAGTAACAAGGATAAGGATGGTTCAGTAACAAAAACCCATAAGGAGGATCTCCTGGTGACCCTCAGCTGAAAGGTCAAATTTGGGATTTCCTTTGTGCGCAAAGCTCAGGGAACCACAGTGGATGAGTGTTACTCACGTCGGTTTCTCACTCTATCAAATGACTGAAATTAATTGTTCCACTGTTAAATGTCAGTGCTTTGTTTGAGGAGTGGAAAGTTTTAAAAATCAGCATTTTCAGTACATGACTGTATCCGTGATCTGAACTGTGGGGAGTGTGACATGACATGTGCACAGATTTTGAGCCTGAGCTTTCTGAAAGCTGTGGGCATGTTGGGAAGTGTCTGCCCCTGGCTGAACTGCACAGCCTTTTCAGGGAAGAGGTGCTGCCTTGCTTACCCTCTCAGTCCCTTAGAGGCAATGGTGAGGATACCAGCTGCGATTTTTTTAGAGTCAGCATTGTGATCAATTGGGAAGCACCCTGCAGCTTCCCTGTTTGTTACATACCTAGTAGCCCTTCTTGACTGCTGTCAGTAGTGAACCAAAATGGACTTTTGATCTGGCTGATTTATGGCTGGTTTGTGTTTCCAGGCTCTGCTACTCAGACTTACAGGTGGGGGTCACAATTGCAGCAAAATCTCCCTTCCCATCCTCTTCACCCAAAAAGCGGTTACATTTGTGAGAACACCTGAATTTGTAGCCTTGAAGGGTTAACACTGTCATTGCAGGAAGAATTTTTGTCTTGTGTTTTTCTGTGTCGGTCCAGCTTAGCTCCCATTCCTTTTTAGACAGACTGCCTACCCATATAGCAGGTCCTATTCCTTGTGTGAGTGGCACTGCCCAAGCTGTTGACAGGTGGGCCAGGTATTTAATAAAATTTGTTAACTGGATGTTGTCCCGTCCCTACAGAAGAGCGGGTCGTTCCCATTGAAGTCTGCCGTTCCAAACTGTCAAAGTACTTGCAGGGAGTCGTTTTCCGCTGTGATAAGTGTACCTTTACCTGCTCCAGTGATGAGAGCTTGCAGCAGCATATAGAGAAGCACAATGAACTGAAACCTTACAAATGCCAACTCTGCTACTATGAGACCAAACACACAGAGGAGCTGGATGCTCATCTTCGAGATGAGCACAAGGTAACATCTAAATAGTTTTAATTTGTAGCATTTAATTTTACTTGCATGTCAATTGTGAGTAGGCAACTTGCCTTTTTTTTTTTTTTCCTCTGCCTCTGCAAACCTGGAAACTAGTCCCTCCCACATTTGGGCTTCACTTCATCTGTTTTCTTTTTTTTTTTTTTTTTTCTATCTCTCTCTTTAGAAACTCAAAATTGAGGGTTTCTAAAGCTGTTCAGATTGACACAAACTGTCAGACTTCTATGCAGAGTATGATTATCTGGAAAAGGCACTTGTGTATACTAAGTTTCTTTACAGAGAGGAAAAAAAAAAAAGGGTTGTGAAACAATATTAACGCTGTATGATTCAGCCTCTCTAAAAGGCAGGAGATTCCAAACATAAGATTGTTCTGGCAACTTCAGCAGTGTGAGGTGCCATGCATATTTTAATAACAAAGAGGGCAATACATCGCCGTTTACATTTAACAAGGGAAAGATAAACAGCAAGTATAACCAGGTGCTAAGACTGCTTTGGAGTTTTTGTGGAGTGCCTAAGTACAGACGAGATCCACTCTTCAGAGGCTTTCCACAGACTCTTAGCTTTGAATTTCTGTAACTGAGCTGTGTAGCTGAGAGACACTTAAGTTCTAGAATTGAGATGTGGTTTGGAGTATTTGCTAGAGTGCTCCTTGTTGCATTTCCAAGGGAGGAAGCAGATATGCCTTCACCTGTTGGACCTGAGCTGCCCAAGTCCTCAATGAAACTCCTACTTCGTTGACTGAATGACACTTTCCTTACAGCCAAATGCATTTTATATTGACAGTATTAGCAGCACAAGTCCCAGCAAAACCTTTCATGCATAAAAAATATTTGTCTGTCTTATAAAAACAAACTCTGTGTGAAGTTATGTTGGCCTGCTGTGCTTATCTGCCTACTTTTTTATTACTTCTGGAGAGTCCTCTGCAATTTACCCAGTACGTGAGATGCTCCACACCTCCCAGTCACCACAGCAAGGCACCTGACATATCCAGGAGGCACTATTCCTCATTCTTTTGACACAGTGCATCAGGCTGGGAAAATTATTTCCTTACTTAGCTCTCCTTTCCAATCCAGACCTGCAGTGATGGTGCCAGTAATTTACGGTATCTTTTCCCCATTCCTCTTTGGTAATTTATACCTTGCTAATTTGTGTCAAAGGTCTGGGCTCAGACACCCAAGTGATACACTGTATCTTAAAGAGTTCCTGTGTACAAGCTGAGTTGAATTAAGTGCCTTGCGTATGATCTTGTTTGTTTAAATCTCAGTGGGTAAAGTCAGAGAACATCATCACAGCTGTTTGTTGGGAGTAGTGCTAGGAATCTGCACTCCATCACATTTCAGATAATTTGGAGATATACTGCAGCCTAATTCACGTGCTATTTAGGTTCATTCAGATTACCTTTCCTGCAGAGGGATAAAAAGCAGTCAGTGGGTGTTGATATTTCGTTCAGCATCTTGCAGGAGATGTTGTACTGCACTCATTCCTCGATCTCCATCTTCTCTCCCTGTGGCTAAGTGCCTTGCTACTGGAGGGCTGTCTCTTTGCATGAAAGATTAATCCAAAATCCTTCCCAGCCGTGATCAGTGAGCTCAGAGGGCACTTGTTGTCCGATAGGTATTTGCACTAGTGTCCCAATCCTGCTCCATGCTCTCTGCCTCTGCTGTGAATCTGGACTGAACCTCTGCTCTTTCTGTTGGATGTGGTGGAGTTGCTGACTTCCTTGCCCTAAGCTGCTCCTTTCATACTGCTGCTGTGAGCTGTTAAGTAGCTGGTGCCTTTCACCCTGGGGTTAGCTGAATTTGACTGCTGGGTGAAGTGTTCCCATTATAGTCTGTATATCAGTTTGCAAAGCACTTTGCAGCCCTTCCTAATGAAAATTAATCTGTTATTAATGAGTGAAAGTGTATGTGGTGCACAGCAGCCATGTGCTTATTGAAGGACTGATCCTTTCATGCATGAAGCTGAATGAACCAGTCACAAATAATTTTCCGTCCTTGTGGATGTGCAGTAGCAGCGTTTGATCCCAGCAATTGAATGGTCCCATAAAAAAAAGGGTATGGCTTACAGTGGTTTGCATTTCTTGGATTGTTTTTAGTACATCAAAACAAGTAAGAAATGAGGGAGGTTTACTTAATGTCATTGATTTTTGAAAACCAAAAGTGAGAAAGGCAGAATAAACAGCAAAAGAAGAATCATTATAATTAAAAATAAATGAGTGTTAATTTGATTAGGCAACTGCATGTTACCTAAAGCTGAGTAGGCTTTCGGTTGTAGTCTATTTTATTTTGCATATGTGGTGATTTTTCTGATTAGCAGATCATTGTGCTGATTGCTGACAAGTGTTTCTTTCAAAGGTGAGTCGTAATTTTGAGTTGGTTGGACGGGTTAACTTGGACCAGTTGGAACAAATGAAGGGGAAAACAGAGAGCTCCAGCAGTGATGAAGAAGAGAAAGAAGAAGAGCTAAGCCCCAAGACTGAAGAGAGAGGTCAGTGCAGGGGTTTTTTTGTTTGTTTTTGGTTGGGTTTGAGGTTTTTTTTTGGCATTGCAACATGCCCCAGCAGTCCCACCAAACAAGGTCAGCTGTTAACTCTGCAGCACATTCCTGTAGAGCCATGCAGGCATGCCAGCAGGAGCAGAATGGGGCTTTTGTGAAGACACTACTCCTGGGGGAATCTCATGTTTCTAATCCTTATTGCAAGTTTTCTGTTAAGAAAATGCATACTATAAGAAAACACAGATAGCATCTGTGACTTATCTGCCCCTGCAGATAGCATCTATAAGGGCTTGGAAATCTACGTAAGTGGAGTATTTTAGTGGTCTGTCAGATTTTCTGTTTTGGTAACCAGTTTTCAGCTTTTCACTTGGCATTGGTTAAGTGAGGGATCAAGGGCTCACGGCCAACCGTTTTATGCACTGTTATTAACATTGTGCCCAGCATTCCTTGTCAGAGGGAGTCAATCCTTTTGCAGTTGCTGCAATTGGCAGCTCTGGAGCAAGGGTAGGTCCACCCCACACCTGTACTTAAATATGTGTATTTATATATGTGCCTAAATTTTTATCTAAACTAATCCCACTGACTTCAGCAAGGCTAGGCCATGTGGTTGCTAATGCTTTTGGTTTGGTCAAAGTTAGATCAACAGGAAAAAAGTAAGTTCTCTGTAAATTGAACTGAGGGTTTCTTGTTCTTCCTTTCCAACAACCTTCCCCGTCGAAAACCAGCCTATTGCAGTGTCTGGTGTAAACCGTGTTTTGTCTAGTCTGCTCCGGTGTACAGTTCATCAGTCAAATGCAGTGTGTTCACAACTCTTTTAACATCTTTAGCCCTCTGATGTCTGAATGTCACATTCCTGGGGTCAGCCACTCTCCTGATGCTGATGACTGCAGTTCGCCAAGTTCTATATACTTTAACTAAAGGTACCCCACCATGTTTATCTTTTTCCTCCTGAATTTTCATCTTTCAAACTCACGGAGGAATTGTTCACAAATGAAAATGTGTCTTCCTACATCTTTTCAAACCTTGAAAAATTCAAATTTCTGGATTCATGGGTTGTTTACAGAACAGCAGGGGCTCGGATCATTCTTCTTACCTTTTAGGAGCAAGACCGCAGAGTTTTGGCTTGTGTTTAGCATCCCTGCAGCACAAATCCAGTCTTCGCTTATCACGAGCACTTCATTTTAAGTTTGGTTGGTGGTAGCTTTTATTTAAATGAGAAAGGAAGCATTTTGGATACGAAACCATTTATGTTTCAATGAAAAGTATCCTTCACAAGATCTTCAGTAGAGCAGTAGAAAAATCAAAGGAGATGCTTGTTCCATATGCATTTCAAAGTTCAACATTAGGAACTTGTGCAGAAATGTGCTTGGGTGTCTGTTCAGGGAGAGCTTTGATCCTCAAGTCTTCATAGCTGGAACAATGATTTATGTAATGATTTGACTAAAGGAACAGATCACCCTAGCTGCAGATGGAGCAGGCTGATTAATGTTTTGTATAGACCCACAGCCAGCAGGGAATGAAGAATCGTGCTGTCCTTGTGAACATTACTTAAAAGCACAGGTGCTGAGGTGACCTTGGAAGCCATGGCATTTAGACCAAGAAGAAGCTGCTATGAGCCAAGCCTTACACATCCCTGTAAATGCACCATGGGAGGGGAACAGCCCAAGGTGAAGTTCATTGTTTAAATTGGTGTCAGATTTCACTGTGAAAATGTAAAAAAAATCACCTTCTATGCTGGAGATTTAGATCTGCAGGGATAATAGATAAGTGTTATCCCCATGTTTCATGTGATCAATAGTTAAGCAAGGGATAGTGTCTTAGTGATTCTAATTTTTATTGTGTACTTTTTTTCACCTGTATCTGTGGTTTTTTAATCTGTGACTAGAATGATTTCTACATGATTGTTCAGATGACCAGTCTAAAAAACTCATGTGCATATTTCCAAGTTTGTTTTGCAGCTGTTCTTTCCTGACTGGCCTGTAAAGTCAATGTTGCACTGTTGTTAATTTTTCTGCTTTTTAATCTTTTACCATTTGTAATATATTATACTAAAATAGGTAGAAAATGCCAAAATTCCTTATATCTGCTACAGCAAGAGTATTAGGAGAGATCCAGTTGTATAGACTATATTTTTCTAGAGAAGTTGTGGATTACCATTATAAGGTGCAAGATGCAAGGTACACTTTCACAAAATGTCCCAGTGAGACAGGAACTGAAAGCATGGTTGGATGCTGAGTTGCATGCTGAGATCTCCCTAGGGATTTTCAGCAGATAGTTCTAACACAGAAATGGTTTGCCCTGTTAGGAGAGAACCAGACCTATGGTTTTAAATATAGCCTGTCACAGTGGCTAATGCCGTCACGGCTCTCAAACCACATCAGACTGTGTAATCCTGTATGCCACCCGGGTGCTTTTGACAATTCTAGACTTTGTGCCATTAGCAGGAAGTGGGATTTGCTGTGAGTGTCTCTGTGTGCTCTGAGTATCTGGAAGCAAATGCTGTCTGAACCCTCTGGAGTCCGTGACTTTGTCAGAACCAGGATTTCTTCCCTATGAGTCAAAGAGATGCCTAGATTTGCTGCTTTGACTTCAGACTGATATGTGCAGTACTGAACGTGCAAAGAAGAGTGTGTTGCTTCTCCAGACAGGCTTTTGGACAGTCAACCAAAGAAGGGCTATTGCCCACGTGAAGAGGCAGAGCTGGGCAGCAGAACTCAGCAGAGCTGAACTGCTGTCTTGGATGGAAAAGGAAGGCAGTGGTTGGCTGCCAGTGAAGGATAGCAGAAAATCTGTTGACCTAGGAGGAAGAAGAAGAGAGGGGGAAAAAGAGAGTGTGTGCCATACAACATGGAAAGAACAGCTGCCCCTGGTGGGGACTGCATCCCAGATGGACTGTCTGTCTGTAATGACCTTTATGTCTTGGTCTTAGCAGAAAGTGGAATCAAGAGTTATTTTTCCACAGCAGACAAAAATAAATGTCCATGAGTGCTTGTATGTGTGATGCAGGAAAACTGCAGAGAGGTCAGGTGTCTGTGCAGTCTGTTACCTCTCTTCTGCAGGCCTCAGAGAAGAGCAGCTTCTGATACTTCTCCAGGGAAGGAGTCCAAATTCAAAGGCCTAGAAGCAAAACTGATCAGGAAGTAGGGTGAGCAAGATAGTGTTTTCTGAAGAGGTGACGGATTTACTAGAGTAGCACTTGCTAATCTTAATGGAAGTTGCAAATATAGATCATAGGCTGGTTTGGGTTGGAAGGGACCTCTAAAGATCATATAGTCCAATCACCCTGCTCTGAGCAGAGACTTCTTTCACCAGGTCAGGTTGCTCAAGGCACCGTCCAACATGACCCTGAACGTGACCAATGTGACCATTCTAGTGATGGGGCATCCACACCTTCTCTGGGCAGCCTGTTGCAATGTCTCTCAACACCCTAATCTTAAAAAAAAAATTCTGCCTTATGTCCAATCAAAACCTACTCTCTTTCAGTTTAAAACCTTTACCCCTTTTCCTGTCACTACAGGCCCTGATAAAAAGTCTCCATCTTTCTCATAAACCCAGTTTAAGTATGGAAAGGCCACAATAAGGTGGCCCCAAAGCCTTCTCTTCTCTGGGCTAAACAACCCCAACTCCTCCCTATTTGAGCTAAACAGCCTCTGTGTTGCATGTCTCCTCTCTGCAGAGGCCCAGAGTAGTGTGTACACTATGGTTCTTGTACAGGACAGCAGCATTTGCCTTCAAAACTTTACCCTCCATAAATATTTGTCCCTGTACCATGACTAGTCTGTGTTGCAGAGTGTTTATACATTTGTACCACACATAAGGTATTGAAGTCCAGATGTAAACTGAACTAATGCCATTGACTTAGTTTCTGGTGTTTCTCTTGACGCAGCACCGTGCTTTGTGATATTTAACCACACAATAAGTCACTGACAGTAAGAAATACTACTTGAGGTTTTGTCTTTCAAGGGAAA